CATGATGCCCATGTGGAGGGTGACTAAAAACTGTCGCTCAGTGGGTTGGTCAGTCAGTCTATGCTGGATAACTGTTAGTCGGATAGTAAAGTATCAGCGACCACAACTAGTTTTTCTCTGCGTCATACCTATTATATGAAGTTCCTAACGTTTTGTACGTCGAACCTTTTTTAGGACTGACTTAGTACAAATACAAGCTTCCACTGTGAAATCACTCCATAACAGTGTAGTTCTGAGATTTTCAAATACTGAAAATATAAAAAATAAAAATTTGTTTCAATACAAAAATCATATTCTGCTCTTGTTTGTCAATAATCTATTTTAATGGTTATATTTGTTTGATTTTTAACAAAAAATTGTTAAATTTTCATAATTATTTTGAATGAGCTTAAAATTTTAATGTTTTTAGCAGTCATATAAATAAAAAAAAAAAAATGACTTTCTAGATTACTGTTAAAAAATGTGAAGAACTTCATTTGGTACAAAGGAACTTTTGTTAAACTGTAAAAAGACTTTTGATTAATTTTTTTTCTTAGGTTTCTCTGAAATTGTCAGTATTTGTAATTAAAAAATGAATAGAAATAAATTTTAAAAATAAATTACTGAAAAGCAGGAAACATTTTATTATCCTCTTTACAAAGTTTTTTTTTTAAATTCTTATGATTCTTCAGATGAGAAGAGTTTGAATTTTTTTTATAACTGAATGAAGATGTTTTTGTCTTTTTATATATATATATATATATATATATATATATATATATATATATATATATATATATTAATTTGATGAAGATTTCTATAAAATCTAAGTTTGTTAGTGAATCGGAATTAATGTTTTTGTAATGTGGGAATGTTACCTGTTATATATTTACACATTTGATAATTGTGTATTTGGGCAGCAATCCCTCTTTTATACAGGTTACATTAAAGACGACTGACAAGGTACTGCGATTAAGCTTTTTATTTAATTTTTCTTGTGTCTGTACAAGTGTTTTCTTTTCTGGAAACAAAGTGTGTAAAAACTATCCAAGTGTGCTTTTGGTTATTCTTTTAGCCATTATCAAGGGTGATTTTTATTTTTTATTTCTAACTGAATGTGTGGGTTTTTTATTTATGTGTCTGAAGTTATTGGAATGTTTTATTTTCCAAACACAGTCAGCACATTGTGGCTGTGTTCATAGTTAATGTTATTGAGTGTTGGCTTTGCCTTTTTATTATTAGGGCTTCCATTATCTTTACTCTTTTTTTTTTTTTTTTTTTTTTTTACATGTGGATGAGGCTATTATACTTGTATTTTCTACTGGTATTTTTTACACATTTGTATATGTGTACACACACACACACGCACACATGCACACAGTACTTTAATTTTAATTTTGGTCAAACCATTGTGATAAGACACACAGTGTAAATATGAATAAGCAATACAAATTATTAAAATATTTTTTTGCTTTTGAAAACAGAATTGTGTATGTATGTGGTTTATCTTACAATTTTAAGAGAAAGACCAATGTGGCTGCAGGACAAGTTGAAAAATTTGGTGAATTTATTTTTCTGAAGTCTTGGAATTTTTTTTCCAGTGGCATTGCATGGATTTGTGAGCTTCTAACTGTCAGTTCTGATTTCTTTATTGCAATTTCTCTTCAGTCCTCTTCCTACTTCTTGCCTGTACAGACTTTTTTTTCTTAATTTCTTTTCCTTTTTTTTTTTTTTTTTTTTTTTTTTAAATTTGAATAATATATATGCATATATTTTAATCAATTTCTATGCTATTCAGAATTTCTTATAAAATATGAAATAATTGGTCAATGTTCAAAAAAAAAAAAAAACTTAAAAATCCTGCTCAGTTTTTAGAATATGCTTTTAAAAATTTTATTTTATTTTTTAATTAAATTGATTTGTTGGCAATATTATGAGAAACTAACAAAAGGTTTTTTCTTCTTTTTTTTTTTGTCAATGCAATACAAGTGATGTTTTTCTGGCAGATCAACAACTAGAATGTTCACATTTAAAATTTTTACCAGCCTTTATGGAGGATAATTTTTTAGTTGATCCTGACACTTTGTCTGTACCTATTGAGTCTTTATTGACCAGTTTCCTGTCCATAATACCAGCACACTGGATAAAATGTAATATTTTAATTTTTAAGTGTATTTTGTAGGCCTGATTTAAAAAAAAAAAAAAAAAAAAAAAAAAAAAAATCATATTTGAACATTGACCAAAGACTTTTTACTTTTATTCTTAATGATGTGTTTGGAAATTATGATGTGTAAAAGAACTAATAATGGTTGTTTTATACATAAGTATCTTGAATTGGAATTTATTTTTATTTGTATTTTTTATTTGCAGTGGCTATTTTTTTTAATTTATTTTTTCCTAAATTTTTATGAAATAAAATTGACAAGCTTTGTTGTACATGTTAATTAAATGACGGAGTCAAATATTTCATGATTTACTTGTTTTTATTTTTTATATATATTAGTTTACATTCATTATGTGGCTTTTGCCACATTTCTGGGTTTATCCAAAACTCTGTCTAAATTTTTTATTGCATGAAAATTTTTAGGTAACTGTTTACAGAATTTTAATTAAAAAGTGCTCTACAACTTTTGCTAATGACTATCTTGCTGATATAATTTAATACTGAGTGAATGTTTTCATTCACTCTAGCTGGCACTAGGATAGGCTACTATTTCCATTTCACTTGAATTGTTTTCATCTTTCATGTACTTTTATTGAATAATAATCTAAAATTTCTGTATATCTTTTCCCTACTGTATATAATATCAGTATGACTATCTTACATTTGTCATGTGCCTCCAGCGTACTCTAATCTACCCTTGTAAAATTCTGTTGTTTTATTTTCCCCTGCTTTAATGCTGTCTATGAGATGTGTTCATCACTGTCATATTTGTAAAATATTTTCTTCTGAGTATCTATCCTGTAACTAATTCTCCATTGTCCTACTACTATATTAACCTTTTTAATATTTTCTCTTTTAATTATTTGTTGTGTTCCTTAACTACCCATTAATTCATTTTCTGTTTGTCTATTATATCTGAATGTTATATCCTCTCCTGCTTTATACATATGTGGTATTGTACACCTGTATATCTCAGGTACTTCATTATTTACCAATACCTATTTGTGTTATTAGCCTGTTATACCTTAAGGGTTCATAATAAAAAGTAAATATTAGGTGTTACACTATCTAGGTGTTATCAAAACCAATTTAAAATAATTTGTGAAATCCAAGGAAGACAAGATGATAGTTATTTAAATTTTTTCTTCAATTTGTCATGGCTGTGAATAAAGCAGTAATTTGTTGCTACCACAATAGCTCTAGAAAATTAACTTCCTATCACAGCATGCCAAGGACATAATTGTCAAGATGACTGGCAGTGGAACTGAGCTCAAGGGAGTGAATTTCAATGTGAAAATAACTTCATTGTCCACTCTTGAGCTGTGTGTATTGATTCCATTTTGTTGACTACATTAATAATTTTTACTTCCATCTGAAATATTTCCATAAACATTTTTCTTGTCAAATGTTTTTTATCTCTTTCATTTAGTTAGTTTTTACAGTTCATAACTCCCACCTGTACAGTACTATAGTGTCAAAGTAAACCATAAGATTTTTTAAGATTATATAAAACCTTTTTCCCCAATTTTGAATTATCATAATCATTTCTTGTGAAATTGATTTGAGTCATATTAATGTAAAAAAAAAAGAAAAGAAAAAAAAACTCCAACAAAAGAAACTACATTCATAGTAATGTAGATATTTACAGTTTAATATGGCAAAGGTTGGAAATGCTAGTAAAAGAGATGAAGTACTTTTTAATTACAATAGATTTTGATTTGTTTGTTGTGTTCCAAAACTACTGTTTACATTATATACATGTGCTTTTATCTCCAAACAAGTTTGATAAATACCACCGACAAGGTCTGTTTGTTGAATTCTTTGTATTTTTTCAATTTTCAAATAATGTATATTAGGATTGAAATTATGGACAAACTGTTCAAATTTCATGTTTGTTCTGTTTTATTCAAGTACTTTCAACTATCTCAGTCATTTTCAAGAATCATATGATGTCTGTGATAAGCAAAATTCTGTTGGCTATATCCTGGGATTCTTTAGAAATCTGAAAGTTTAATATAGTTCATGGCAATTTAATGTGTAACAGAACAAAAATTAATTTTAGAGAGTTTATTCACAATTTTGATCCCAATATACAATGCTTTATTTTGAAAACTGGAAAAAATATAATAAAAGCACTAAACAGGCAGACTTTGGTAGATGTATTTAATCAAACTTGTTGCTGCCAAAATATACCTTTTTATTTATTTAATGTGTGAAAGAGAGTGTTCACAGTACCTCAAAAAGTATACATTTGTGGTCTATAATTATTATTAATGTCTTTTGACTTATATTTTATATTTCTGTTAACATAATATACAGATTCCCACTGGCTACAGTTAAGTTTATTTTTGTTCACTTTTGAGTCCAATTTTTACCAAAAAATTAAAGATGTTACAAAGTTATTGACCAATAATGTATTCCATTATTTGGGGTAACTGTATGTGTTAGGTGATGTGTTATAAATGTGTCTTGTATTTCTTAAAAATATTTATTCGTTTATACTGTACATTAATCTTTAGCACTCTGCATTATTCACAAGTATTACTTCCCCTTTCAATACATTATTTTTCCGGCTTCTTCAAGCGTAGTAACCTCTTATTGGTTTTAGTCAAAGTTGTATAATAACACAACTATAACAACACAAATTTAAACCCAATATCATTTGGTGATGGAGTCACCTGCAGTAGGATAAATTTTCTGCTTGGTAGACAAAATTACCTACAGAATTCTAAAGGTTAATTTTTTGTGTCTCTTCCTACCATTGTCCTTAAGTTGAAACTGTTAGTCTCTTCTGTGAACCTTTGTTTTCCTGTTTTGGTTTTTCTATCTAATTGTCTTTTTTTTTCCCCCCTGATAGCCGTCCTCCTGTAGTTCCATGTCTGGTTATAGTCTCCATCAGCTCCAAGGGAACAAGAGTCACGGCTGTGAAAAGACAGGTTATTTGCTCAAGAAGAGTGAAGGCCGGATGAGGAAAGTTTGGCAAAAGAGGCGTTGTATCATTAAAGATGGAACCATGTCTATCAGCCATCAAGACGTAAGTCTTTTTAAAATAGGTTAAAATGCATACAGATATGTGTGCATCAATATTTAAGTAAATGTTACACACACACACACACACACACACACACACACAGTGTCCTCCATGAGTAAAAATGAAAATTTAGTTGATATCTTTTCAAGTATAAGAATGGTGTAATATATAGTGACTTGGATTGAGAAATTGAATTACTGAGTTTGAATTTCAGTTGGGTTAGTTATATCCCTTTATGCACTGATGCTCTTTGGAAAGGTATAAATACATTGCCTCCAATTTATGGATTAAATAGTAGGATAAAAAAAAAAATCATTGTAATTTACAAAAAAAATTGTTGATGCAAAAAAAAAAAAAAAAATATTTGTTACAATCCCAAATATTTTTTGGCTTTAAATAACCCACAGATAGTTAATAAGTTGTAAAAAAAAAAAAAAAATCAAGTATTCAAATGAAAACCCTGAACCAAATCAAACAATTTTAAAATGAAATTATTCTTTTGGATAAGAAAAATGCCTACATATCTATGTTTGTATAGGAGTGTAGATAATCTGGGATGGTTTGTGTTCCATCACACAATTCTTTTGTTCTTTCATTCCATAGTTAGCACATACATTACATCCTGCCAATACTTCATAAATAATGAACTATTCCATTTTGTATCTGTCTATATTTCTGAGATGAGGTATTATGTACACTATTTACATTATTCAGACTATTGTCCTCATCTTTGTCGCCATGTTTATCACAACATTTCGACCGTTGTACGCTCCAGCCTTCTTCACTCACTGGAATAGACTGTTCTAGTTCCACATGCCATGTTTAATGGATGTCAGTTAATTCCCCTTTGAAAGTTCTCCATTGCCTTAATCATGTCTTGAACTCACACTCTTTGAGTCCTGTTACTGGATCTAACTAATGCCTTTATCCACTCAAGGACACATGGCACGGTGGATAAAGAGTGTGAGTTCAATACCAAGTTAAGGCAGTGGAGAACTTCGAGATGGTAATTAACAGGAGATAACTGATATCCATTAGACATGGCATGTGGAACTAGAACAGTCTACCCCAGTGAGTGAAATAAAGGGTTCAGTTTGACATTCCAACCACCTGAAGTAGGCCGGAGTGTACAACGGCTGAAACATTGTGATAAACATGGCAACAAAGATGAGGATAATAGTCTGAATAATGTAAATAGTATTTCATTTTGATTGGAAGGAAAGACAAAGTAGTAACACTCACATGTGTTTAATGTCTGCTTCAGTGAAATAGAAAAACTTGTCAATTTTAAAGCTCTTCATTTTTACCCTCTGACATTTAATACTGACCTGCATTCATAATTAGGACTTTCATTGTAATATTTGGCTAAAGATGTTAAGGTCAAACATTTATTGAAGCAATATGGGAATTTCCATGAGTGTATTGTAGTTGTGGAACGTGCAATGAACTTATTTATTCATTAAGTGTTATGATACATTGGAAAATTAAAATAGGAAAACTGTAAAATTTTCATGGGTACTGTTAGCTTGTAAAGGGTCTTCCAATAACTTGGACTGATTTTAAATGTGAATTAAGTTTAAGCATCTAAATAACTAACTGGCAAGCCATAGAAAATGAATCAGTCAATCATTTGCATACAAGAGAACACATATCTAGATTCAGTGAATGTAAATATTGGCCAAACATTTTGCATATATATTTAACTCTATTGAATTTCTGAATGCTATTTTAAGCTTGGTTGTATTTGTTGTTTTTGTTTTATGTGAGGTCACCCTATAAGTGCTATTGGTACCATGTACCCCAGTACTATCTGCTGCATTGTTGGGTCATCAGTGACTAAACTGGTACCCCCACCAGGTTTTTCTGATGTGGTGGGTGACTAGACACCTAGCAGGATTACAAACAAGACCTGTCAATGAGTGGATGAACTGTTTTGTGGCATCAATAACAATCTAACACAATGGGGTAGACTGGGCTCTATAGTTATGTCTGCTGCCAGTGTGGTGATGACACAGTATTACTATATATATATATATATATATATATATATATATATATATATATGGAAATCTGAATTAAATCTAGCAGAATAGTGGAATGATTTAGAGCATTAATTCTAGTTTTTAGATTCAATATTTTTTTTTTCTCTAGTAGTTTTTTTTTTTTTTTTTGGAGAGGACATCACATGTATATCTCATGGTGCCTGTAGTGTATATATAATTTTTGAAATGTTAGCTTCATTTAAGTGTGTATTGAAACTTGGGTATGATATGATGGATAAATAAATTAAATAATATATATATATATATATATATAATATATATATATATATATATATATATATATATACACTATTTGTGTGTGTCTGAACAAAAAAGAAACCAAATGAAATGGCTAGGCTATGCACCCAATATATATATATATTTTTAAAAAAATATTTAAATTTCAAATTCTCAGCACACATTTTCCTTTGTGCATATATGTAATCACATCAATGTAAATGTCACTTTAGCCCAATGAAGCCCTAAAGGACAAAACACATTACATGAAAACTTTTTCCACATTGTCATAATTTTTTTCCCCTCAAATTGTTCTTTATATATAAAAATGTACATATCATTTTCCCCATATATATATATATATATATATATATATATATATATATAAATTGGTTTTCATTATATTATTCAGTCTTTAAATTAAATAGATGTAAATCAAAAACATTTTAAGTAATGAAAATATTTCATGATAAAACTTCAGGCAACTTAATCAAACATTTTTCAAATATTCTTGCTTTGTTCTTTTTAACATGGTTTCATTTACTGTTAGGCTAAAAGCATGAAAAGTACCAACATCCTCACATATTTCTCAAAAATACAAAGTAGCATTTAATTAATATCCAATATTTTTAAAACATATTTTGTGATAGGTAACTGAATTTGGAAGTATTCGTTATGTTGATATTGTAAATTTAATACTTTATTTTAGATATTTTTTTTTTTATACAAGTAATACCTTTTTTTTTTTTTTTTTTTTTTTTTTTTTAATTTTGATTTTAGGAGAGTAAAGAACCTGTCAGACTGAATTTACTCACCTGTCAGGTGAAGGTAAGTATTTTTTTTATTTTGTGAAAGATCCCAAATCAAGTTATTACACTTTACTTTATATCTTTCGCATAGCTCAAAAATAGTTTGACAGGTATTGGTGGAATTTCCCTAAACTGTGGTATCATCTGCATTTATTATTGATCTGACAATGTTCGTTAGCAGATTGGTAATAATTACTGCACAGTAGTACAAGACCTAAAACTTTACAAGTTTAAAATCCATCACTTAGCATTTATTTTTGTTTTTAAATTTAATATTCTCTCAGATTATTAATAAAATTTTTCTGATGCATTTAAACAAGTATTTAAATAAATGTAAATGTTAAATGAAATTAATTCCATGACAGTTGAATTTACACACATTTTTATAATTTATATAATCCTCCACACTAAACCAAATCCACTAAATAAAATTAGTCAAATTAGTCTGTTAAAATTATTTTGTTAATTTTTTGGTTATTAAATGATTATTAATGAACAGCTCAATTTATTCATTTCGGAATACCAATTTAACTTCCAGTTTATTTTACTGTTTTAGCATTATACATATTTGAAATCTATGGTAAGCTATTTAAAAAAAAAAATTGAGTGACAGTATTTGTATTTTTTTAATTTTGATATTTTTCTCTTTTGCAGTTGGTTCCTGATGACCCTGGCAAAAAATGTTTTGATCTTATATCCAGCTCAAGTAAGTCCAGTTTTCTTTATTAATATTTGAACCAGCTTTTGATTAAAAAATGTCTTGGCTTTGTTTAGTGCAATAAATTTCATTCTTTCTAATTTATACAATCAGAAATTATTATAAATGTGCTCCGTTTGTGTCTTAAGTTTTGCAGTATATGTTTTCAAACTATTGTGTTTTTATTTGTTTGTTTTTTTCTGAAATACCATCCCCCTATATGTTAGTCCAGGTTCATATTGTTATACTAAATAAGTTTTTTTTTTCTAAATACTTTACTAAAAGCATAATATCAGGGTCAATTTATATATGTGTATATTTAGCAGTTTTTATATCCTGTTTCACACATGTATGCATATAAAAAGTAGCATATTCTATACTGTTGGCATCTTTTAAAATAGGAGATAAAATAAGTGCTTTTCTTAAGTGCTAAATTTGTACACAAGAAAATGCAGTTTTGAATTATCTCCCTTTATTAAATGTAAGAATATGCCCACTGCGCGCGTGCGCGCACACACACAAAATGTATGCACACACTTGTGTATTGTTGCAAGTAGGAAGTTTTCAACTCATTTGTTCAGCGCACAAGCTGAACAGTCTTATTTTCATTTTTATATCTATGTACAGTTTAAATAGTTCCTTTGATTTCTATTAATAGTTGTTTCAGTTATGTTTAAATTAAGTAGCATTACACATTTTGTATGCAGAGAATTTGGAAAAATCCAAATGATTAGTATATCAAAAGAAAAGTAAATATGAGGTTTTTTTGCTAGAAAAAAAAGTATCTGCTCAAACAGCAATTACTTTATTGATGCAAGCGAGCATATTTGCTTCCCTATCACATGCACACACACTTTTTTTTTTTTTTTTTTTTTTTAAATTATTATACAAAAGTTTAGTATTCTGTAAAAGACTTTGTTTAATACCAAACAGAAAATTTTTCTTACCACTGTCATTGACTCCCATGAATGTTAGTGTCTTTAACTTTTATAGTCAGTTGTGTTGTCATATCCTGCTATAGCAACGGAAAATGACCTTGATTGAAATTGACAATGCATTTTTGAGGATCTGTGATAAAGAATTCAGTGGAAGGAAAACTGATATTCATCAATAATAGAGTAAAGTGTTGAAACACAAAATATAGTAAATCTTATGTTTATTTTAAGATAATCAATTTTTGATCTTTCTTCTTCAGAAAACAGAACGTACCATTTCCAGGCAGATGAAGAAAAGGAGATGGAAGAGTAAGCATTGTACTTTTTTGCATTGATGGATTTTAAGAGAAAGATGTATGACAAAGTGGAAAGTTTTTGTTTGACACATTTTATCCTTTAGGACTTCATCAGTCTAAGTTTGTGTATGTTGTTGTGACTACACATGCACACAAACAAACTTAAAGATGATTTTTTTTTATGCATCTTAGGTATATAATCTAGCAGATTTCATTTAGATTCTTTTTCTTTTTGTTTGCATTTCTGTCATTTTTGTTATTAAATTCAAAACCTTTTCCATTTTGTCAAACATCTTTCCCCTAAAATTGTTCTTGATATATAAAAATTTATATATTGTTATCTCATTGATGGATTTATTTATTAACAAAGGAACTTGTTGGGATGTTAGTCTTGTCTCAAACTTCAGAATTTGTCCTCTTGACAGTTATGGTTTGGCAATAGTGTCTGTCTCCTCTCCAAGTATTGTATGAAAACTAATACCAGTAGCTCAAGGTATAAGGATCACCTTGCAGTAGCTGTATTTATTCTGTAAATTTACAGAATATAGCACAAGGGCTGATAAAGTGATTGTGGTCAAAAGAAATTAGCGACTCTGTTTTGGGACATAATTTCAGATTGGGCGTTTCTTCCCTCTACACCAGTTTTTTTGGTATTTATCGTTGTTCTCTTCCCTGCATTTCATTCATTCATCTGTCTGTCCTATGAAAATTTCAGATAGGAGAGCTGGTGATGTACAAGCCTTGCGTTGAAGCTTGTGTTAGATTGGTTAGATTGGTTGACTGAAAGTTCACTAGTTGAATTTTGTGAACTCACTTGAGTGTCATTAAGTAGGTGTTTTTAAGCAGTCTGGGTGGATAGATGACTCAGCCTTTTTTTTTTTTTTTTTTTTTTTTTTTGCTTTTGTTTTAGCAGAAATGTTCATGATTGGCTCTGACATTTAAATTTTATTTTATATTGGGGGGTGGGGATTTGTTTTTTGAACCAGATGTGATGTTCGGAGCCTCTGTGCATAGAACAACTTTTAAATAAAAAATTTGTTTTTGCAGTATTCACATTCAACAGACAGGTTTTTGATGTAGAGTTAATCAGAAAGAGATCTAATTTGAAACAGAATATAAGAACATTTATCTGAATTTTTTCAAGATATTTGCTAAAATGTTTATTTCTAATATTTATTCTAAGCTTTGTTTCATGCTTGTTTAGTACAGTAAAAAGGTGTTGTTCTTTTCCTGTTTCTGTTTAAACACAGTATTTCTTATTATTTTTTTATCTTTGATAGGTGGATATCAGTATTAAACAATGCCAAGGAAGAAGTGTTACTGAAAGCATTCCAGGATAATAGCAACTCCACTTCGATCAGTCAACGTGTCCGAGAACTGACCAGTAGTATAATTGACCGTGTAAAGAGACTACCTGGAAATCAGTTTTGTTGTGACTGCGGAGCCCCTGGTAAATATAATAAGGAAAATATTCCTCTTGGTTATCAGTTACTTATACTCAGGTATCGTCACATATCTCCCAACACACAAAAATGTTTATATAATAATAGAATGAAACCAAAATGAACATATATAACCATCCTCGCTATATACCAAAAACTTTCTGATGTACGATTTTTTTCATCAACAATAAAATTTACTACAAAATTAATAACGTACATTTAATCCACAGTCAATACATGCACTGATAATATCATCCACAAGACAAAAAAAAAATAATTTGATAGATGTACATGCACACCTTTTCAATTTCTTCTATCAGCTTCAGGAATTAGACACAAATACAAAGATGCCCACTAGAATTCAGACACATGCACTAACACCACAAGACTTAAACATGTGAGATCTACTTAACCAATGAAAACAAACAGCACAGAATTCAAAGAACTGAAACATTCATTTCCATAAGTATTTCCCCAAAAATTTCTAATGAAGCTATGTTGAAGACAGGTTAAATTTATAAACATTTTTCTATTTGTTACTTATCTAATCATAGATAAAAAAAATATTCAAAAGCCTTATCTATCAGACTGTTTGGCAGATATAGAACTGGCTCACATTTTATATATATATATATATATATATATATATATAAACAATAGTTGAATGTATTACCTATTGTTGCCATATTTTTAATATTGATCAAAAAATTCTGCTCACCTTTAAACACATTAAACCTCAGTATCATGATGGACTACATGTTCTGTTAATTCACAATCTATATATATATATATATATATATATATATATATATATATAATTTTTTTTTAATTATATTCTTAAATTTAATATAACTTATCTAAATATGATTTATTGTTAATCTTTTTAATATATCTGATTTTTAAGTATAATTTATTTTTTAAGTAGGCACCTAACTTATATATATATAAAATTAATTTTTTTAAAATGTTAACAGTTGGCCACTTGTATTTGAGGATACGAGTGGCCAGCTATTAACGTTTTTATATATATTACACAGTAAAATCCAAAATTACCTCATATGAGGTGGGGTAAGCCTACATTCTAATGGTAACTTTGGGGTAGCTTTCTACAAAAAAAAAAAATGAAGTTCATTTATTTGCTATAAAATATATCCAGGATGATGCCCATTACTGCAATATTTGACTACAGTAAGCAGTCCTACTAGTATTTTTCAGAAGTTGGATTTGCATTATACATTCACTATATGAAAAAAATCAGGTTTTGCACAAAAAAATTCAGGGGTCACATTATACATGAAGTAGGCTTATACACAAGTATATATTGCTACTATATGCAATAATAATAATAATAATCAGCATAATAATAATTTTTTTTTTTTTTTTTTTGTCTTTTTAATTCTTTCATATTTTTCTAGATCCGGAGTGGCTGTCGACAAATCTTGGTATATTAATTTGTCTCGAGTGTTGTGGTATTCATCGAGAAGTAGGAGTACACATCAGTCGGACACAAAGTATTGTGATAGATGAACTAGGAACCTCCCAATTACTTGTGAGTACTTATGTCTTTACACTTTTGAAAGAAAATTTAGTTTCTTGGATTGTGATATATTGAATTTTTATTCAATGAACCATTATCAATCATTATTAATTTTTGACTAATATTTCTTTTCACCTTTTAATTGTGCTTGATCAGAGCCATTCAAAGCATCAGTCTACAACCATCAGTAAACATGTTTTTTTTTTTTTTGTTTTTTTCTTGTTTTGTTATATCCTGTTATATCAGGATGTAGGTGATCATGGTTCTATAAAGATTCTTCTTCTTTCTTATCTGTGAATTGCCATACATTCTTGGGAAAGATTGGAGTAAACATTCTCCAAAGTTTTGAATTTAGTTTTCCGAGAGGACTGATCACCACCTAAAGCTGGAGCACACTCTACACTGTTATTGAAATCATAGCTGGTAGGGAGAAGAGACAGATTCAGGGTTTTCTCATGGAATCATATGTGTAAGTGAATGCAACAGACTAGCTTGGAATTCCACTTTCTGCACTGATATCCATTATCAGAAATAAAGAATAAACTCTTAGACCCAAACTTGCATGGCAAGCTTGTTTTGGAGACCTTGTTCTCTTTACCAATGCTGTTATTTCATTGTTCATTAATAACTGTAGACTGATGGTTGTGATGAAAAGTGAACAAAAATGAAGAGATACTGATTAAAAATTAATATTAGTTCCTTGTATTCTTTCTGTTCTCCTCATTTCAAAATTGAACCAAATTGTTAGCATTTTGGATCTGGTATATTTGATATTTATAGTGCCTGGGATATGAGTTGCAGTGTTTTGAGTAATAAGATATGAAAGACAAACAAAAATGGGAAACTTTGCTGCTACTGTAATGGCTAAGTATAATGCCATTTTGCACAAAGGAATCAATGATAAATATTGTTACTCTGGACATGTATAGGGCAGATATTAATATATCTGAGGACACAAAGAAAAAATGTAGTGAAATGTATTTGAAGAAAATTATCAGTTAAGAGATTTAAATTAAAAATCAGCCTAAAAAAACAATTACCATATTTGACGGCATATAAGATGCACAGGTGTATAAGACGCACCCCAATTTCAGTTGGGAAAATCATGAAAAAATTAGTAACTAGTAAAATTATCAGTAAATGGTACAGCCTAGGCTATATTTATGAGGTACTATTTTGGTTAAACAAGCCATGATTACAATTAAATGAAAAATAATAGGAAAAAAGAACATGAGCCTATAAAAACTTTATTATATCCTTTATAGGATCTGTACAACCTGCGTCTTGTAAAAAAAATTCTGATTGTATTTATGCCAATGCAACTGGAGTTTATTGCAAAAAAATATTAATGAAACAAATATATTTTACAAATATATAATTTGAATTTATTGCATATAATTTTAAAGAAACAAAGTACATGTGATGAAATTAATATAATGAATATTATCACTGATAACATTTTTTGATCTGCATAATAGCCTTTTAAATAATGACAATAGGTATATGAAAGTTACTCTAAAGTCTAAGTTAATAGGAGTTGCCAGGTTGCAAATTTTAAACCTACATGTGACATAAGATGCAGGGGAATTTTAAAAGATATTTTTAATAAAAAAAAGTGTGCCTTTTAGAATAAATTGTGACAGTACATGATGACTTAAAGCCCAACAAGCACATGACGGCTGTTAATGCCCAATAAGCACACAACGGCTGTTAATGCCCAACAAGAACACAACGGCTGTTCACAGAAAGGTGTAAAAAGAAAAGAAAATAGAGCCTTGCAGGACTGTGAAGTTCTTCATAACTGAGTGGTAAAGCATGTTGGTCAAAGGGGATGCAGGTTTGATCCCTCTCTGAGAGCACATTTTCTTTATTAAGATTGCTCTAATGTACAGGCCAATAGATATACTACATACATATATATGTATACGCTGAAAAATTCTTGGCCTGAACAAGAAACCCTTCCCCCCAAAATCTGGTCAGATTTTGTAAAATGGGTATGATTGAAAACCTATCAACACCCTATAATGTATGTATTTATGTATATATGTATGCCATAAAACACCATAGCTAATATCATTGCTTTTTTGTTTCTTTGCAGTTGGCACGTGTTGTAGGGAACAGCGGATTCAATGATATAATGGAGGCAAAACTTGCATTGGATCCTTCATTAAAGCCAAAGCCTACAAGTGGCATGTGTGTACAAACTTTTCTGTTTTCTCTTCATGGACTGCATCTTTTTGTTTCAGTCATATTTATTTAGGAGTTATGTTCATGAATACAATCCTGTCAAAATCAAAAAAATAAAAAAATCCTTGTTGCATTTATGCATGGAGTATCAAGTTGGGGGATATATATATATATATATATATATATATATATATATATATATATATAACCGAATGGGTAAATATAGCTGTGTGTAATAATAATATGTTATTTAATGACAAAATGAAAAAAAAAAAAAAAACTATATTATACATTTTGTCTGTAGAAGAACTTCTTTAAGCTGTTGATTGTTTCATTTATTGAGTCACTTTTTTTATTTTTATAAATATAATGGCTGTCTACTCGTTCCTGAGCACACCTTTCTACTAGAGCAAGTAATCAACCATATTGAAGATGCCTGCTCAAACATATTTGAATTTGTCCAACACTCACAGGGCCTACCTGTGGTTTATACTGCAACTATGTTAACCTTAGTTACAGTTTCTGGAAAAGAGCACATATTTTAAACAATGCCAGTATGTGGTGATGACTTGTGACTTCATTGCTAGCATAACCGTCAATGACTTCTGAACAGTTTTGTCTACCCAATTTCACTCACAAAACTTGAGACAACCTGTGCTTTAGTTTTCAGGTATATTCTAATGCTGGGATTGCTTCCCCAGGTTGATAGCATAGTCATTTTTCTGACAAATAAACCATGGCAACATTTGAACTTGGTTCTCATGGTCAGAAGCAAATATATATATATATATATATATATATATATATATATATATATATAATTAAACAATGCATGCTTGTCTGACCTAATTGTTCTTGTAGTCAGCAACTACTATTACAGATTGAAAAAAATGAAGGTGAGTGGATATACTATATTATAGTGAGGTGGAAAGAAATAGTTCACTAAGTGTAAAATGTGTGTGGTTAAGGATTTTGGTTGCATGTCTGTCTGTCTCTCTCTCTCTATCTATATATATATATATATATATATATATATATATATATATATATATATATATATATATATGACATCAGTTACATTTTTACATTAAATAATGTTAAAGATACATAGATGCTGAGCTTTAAATTTACATTTTAATATGCAGTGTATGTTCTGGCTTTTCTAACTTTAAATAACCTTCAAAGGGTTGATAAGCTGTAAAAAATTAATCAGTCAGTCAAACAAACTTTGGTCCCCTAAATAGAGAGCTGGGGATTGACACTTTGATTCTAACCAGTGTGTGTTGAGACTTTGATTCTAGATGAAAATGCTGACTCCATAAGCCATTAATCCATTTTTTAAAAGAACTATGATTATACTGGTTAATGATGTTTAAATTTCTGGGATGAGCAGTTATTCTTATTTTCATTCTTTTAATTCAGACTAATATACTCATCTTTGATGTTATAACAATGTTTTGGCTGTTTTGCCCTCTGGATTAAAGTAGATGTATTTGTAAAGGGTAGCTTCTGGTTGGAAGCACAACTAACTTAACATAATCATTGCTTTGGTTTTTAAAATTGAAATTTTGAACATTTAAGCATCATTTTCTAAATTTAACAAAATGCCTGTTTGAGGTGAAATATTGATATTATTTTAATTCAAATAATTGAGAAATGTTAGAAAAATTTCAATTTTTCTCTTCATTTCATATTCAGATAATTGATTGATTTGGTTTGTTTTATGGTATATCACCCTCAATGGGTTATTTAATACCAACAGTTTTTATTGCTAGTAATATTTTTTCAAAATATGTATTGCTAGTAATAATTTTTTTTTTTTTTTTTTTTACAGAAAGTATTTCTGTTATTAAAACTTATTTTTACACTTTCATAGTGTTTTGACCCCAGTTTGTGGTTAACTATTTATCCCTAGCTTGGTCAAGGTGGCCCTGGGAACACCAGCAATTAAGAGGTGGTTCCACGCTCCTCAAAACCTCCTGATCAGAGGCCTTGCTGTCAGACATAGTTTATTGTCTTACTCAGAATGCAAATGTAGATTATCATCATACCCAGGACAATCAGATAATTGAGGTATAGATAATCAGGGAAGTCCTGTGAAATGAGGATAAAGTATTTTTTATGCTTCCTGATGCAACTCAAGTAATGAGTATTCCAGTAAAGCAGATGAACCTATTTTGTATTTATATAATTTGTAAACTTTTCAGTATTTACAATTTTTTTTCATGTTGAAAGATATTCTCTATATTTTTCTTAACCAGAGTTAAAATAAATCTGCAATTATCTCCTGTTTTTGTTGATTATTGTATATGCTAAAGTCTTATTAAATTTAGGCACATAACCATACTCTGAAGATTTTAGACAATTAGAAAACTTTTTCAACTTGTAATAAATAAAAGTAAGAGTGATGAAAATCAATAAATGCCTGCTTACTAATGACAAGGTTCAGGAATCATAGTTTACCATAATCTTGTATAATTTGTTAACTGCTTAAAATTGGTTGACAAAATATTCCTTGAGAAATTTCTTTGTTCTGACTAAGAGTTAAGATGGTTAGTCTTTTTGCAGAAATAATAGAAGCTATAAACAAAATTCTAAAGAAACTTATAGAAAATGTAAAGTCTGTGAAATAACAGCATTTTGTTTGCTTCATCTTTAAGAAATATGCCATATTTGTCAGCCTCTCTCTATTGTACCACATTATTAGAACAATTCAAAATGTTCAACATTTCAGAAACATTATCTATATTAATAGATTATGAATAGTTTAAAATTAAATGACAAATTACCTGAAGCTAAACAAGCACAATACTTTGTGTATAAATGGCCATTTGCAATGCAGAAAGTTTGCACATATCAGTGCTAGTCATATAATACCATCGGCTAATGAATATCAAGGAGTTTGACATGTATTTAAGGACTCACTTGAAGAGTGAGAGAGTTTGCTGCCAGTATCCATTGAGAGAAGCTTGGAAGTGATGATGATCTATAGTGGACCATGCATTCCACAATTTAAGTTATTGGAGTTACTCTTCTTTTCTTGGTGGTGAAACCCATTTTGAAATCTCTCTCTCTATTTGCTTATGGTAATATCACATTGAAACACCAAGACAAACAATGTCAAGCCTGATCAGTACCTAGATGGATAAACTCTTAGAAATAACAGCTGCTGTAAGTTTGGATGTGCAGGTGGTGTAATAGATAACAGCTTGAAGTTGGTGAGCTGAGTTTCAATTCTAGTTGAGTTAATTATATTCACTTATGAGCAAATACCCTTAAGAAAGGTATGAATCCACCTCTTCTTCCCCTAGCTATGAATTAATTAGCAGGACTTGTATCAATAAATCATTATTAACTCAAAAATATTCTTAAAATCTAAAAATATTTTCTGGCTTTAAACAACCTACAAAAGATTGATAAGCATTAAAAATACAAACAAATCAATCTATTTCTATGTTTGTGTCACAGAATGAACCCACTTACAGGAACATCTTTATGACTAATATATAGAAATCATTGTGCTGTAAAGCTACATTTATGTCATTGGTAGCTGCCAGCCTTATATACAAATTTTCAATTAATCTTCTCATATAAACTACTTTTTAAAATTATTAACCATATACAAAAAATGCTTCTATATTAAAAAAAAATATTGCAGGTAAAAGGGTTAAAATTTCTCATCTTAAGCCTTTTGATTTCATTAAATTTTTCAAATATGGTTGAATGAAGTTTGAGAAATGTCATTTAACTTGTATATTTTAAACTTGTGACATGATGGGTGAAATTATTTGTCTTCTTTTAGGAATGAACGCCGTGAATTCATCAAAGCTAAATATGAACAACATAAATATGCTATCCAGACATGCACAGACAAGGAAGAATTGAAACAAGATCTTCAGCAAGCAATTACATCAAAGGATATATTTGCCCTTTTGCAAGTTCATGCAGAGGGGTTGGAACTAATGTCCACCCTCCCCAAAGCGGTAATTATATAACTTAATTTTTATTTTATTCTTCTTTAATTTCTTTTTCATTTTTTTACTTTTTTTTTTTTTTATATTTATTATTGAAATTAACACTTTTGTTGTTGCATTGTTGCCTGGTTGTGCTGGCCTGTGTTTGGAAAAATAGGAAATTGTCTTTTACTAGAAATAAATGACAATAAAGAAAGTGATTTATTATGGGTGCCAACATTTTGGTTTTGATTGGATACTCTACAATACAGAAGGTTACTGAATGAGGTATATCATACAAGTATTTAATAAATGAAAATTATGAAGAAGTAACTAACAGTTGACCCCTGACTTGAAGGGGTAAAGATGGTAGTGTTCAGGGAAACATACACATGGGAATCAGTTCCAAAAAGTAGTCATTCTTTGTGGGAGGAAGTTGTTTGAATGGAACTTCTTCTTTACAATTGGAATATGGGGGGAATGAGGGTGATTTGATTCCATGGATATAGCATGCTAAGTCCTAGTTGTAATGGTCTGATCTGGTGGAACTAAAGAATGTAGCTCATCTGAACATTTGTCATGGAAATAGTGATAGAGTAGCAATGTTGAAGCCTATTGCTACTGTGGCTGCAGAGTAGAAATTAAGTCATCTCTTCATGACACTGTAAATGATTCTTGAACTCTGTTAAAACTAGAAAGTAAGGATTGAACAATTTCAGCCCTGATATGGCAGTGATACTACATTTGTGGTTTAATCTGACTCTTATAAAGATTAAAAAATAACTATAAAACATGAGTTTATTCCTGTTATGTAAATCAATCATATCTTTGACTCGTGTTTTGACAATAACTTCATTTGATTTCAAAGTAGATCAGGTCAATGAAGATGTTAGGGTGTTTGCTTATAAGGCAGCATAATGAGATGCAGTCATGGATTGATAAAAACAAGTTACAGTTTATTTAATTCAGATAAATGAAACTAATAATTTTATACTTAATTATAATTAAAATATAACACAGCTTTCCAATTTGAATTTTCTGATGGATGATAATTCTTAAGTTAGTGATTGAATAAGCTCCTTACTAGTTCTACATCTATAAAATACTTGTCAAAATCACCCTATTGCATTCTTAAATATTTGAGCTTAACAACTGTAACAAAATATTGCAATAATCATCATATGTATGAATATGTTATTAAAGAAATAAGAGGGTATAAATGAAAAAGATTAAAAATTGACAAAAATATTTAAAACCTTGTCAATTTTTAATCTTTTCATTTGTTCCCTTTTACTACTTGGGATAATGATCTATATTCATAACTATGATTATTATTGCAATATTTTGTTAAATATTTTTGTTAAATATTTCACTGAAAGAGACATTAAATGCATTGTCATCTTTCTTTCCTTCTCAAAATAAATAGTATCCCTTATATGTTTTTCTTGAGAATTTCCTTGTAATTGAAACTGAATGGTCCATTAATATCTGGAGTGATGGTAGGGTATAAATTGTGTGCTGAATGAAGTACAAGCAGATTTATAATATGATTACTATAGATCTAGATAGGTAGTAACATCTGTATTTTAGTCAAGTGAGAAATATGCTATCAACCAGTAGAAAGATATATTTGTGAGTTGTTTATAGAACTAAATGACACCTTAAATTCAGAGACATTTTTATACCAATATGGTGGATCTCTGAAAAGGCTTGGCAGTGTGCAATCTGATTGGTTAGAAAATATATTTTTCTGTGCCAAGCTCTGATTGGTCAGATTGTTGGTTTTATATAATCTACTTAAAGTAATAAAAACTTTGAAATTGTTACTTAGTTGCAACATTTTGAAATAATAATTTGTTGAGTTATCTTTGTTGAACAAGTATATCAAGGGAAAATGGTCACAATTAATGTGCATTGATTGCAGCCCATAGCAGAAATAGGCAATAAGTATTTGGCAGTGTCCTCCTGCCACCCCTGCAAATGACTTTGTTATACTTAAGCTGAGTACAAGACGGAATTCCTCAGTTTACTTGTGAATTTTCTAGAAGGGTAAGCATGATCACTTAGTGGATTTATAGCAGTATGAGTCACATTAGTTCTAAGTTCATGTCCCAACACATGATGGTGCAATTTGCAATAATCAGGTATCTTGTGACTTAAGATTCAGTTTGTGGTGGTTATAAGATTGTATCCCAGCACACACAATGCAACAGTTGACCTTCATGTTGAATGTTCAATTGTGATAGAGGCTAGTATTTGCAGTGGTTTGCAAAAACTTTTAAAACAAGGTAGATAGAAATTCTTTCTATATCGAAACAATGGACTGACACTATTTACATGTGAACTATTGTCCTCATCTTTGTTATTGGTGATAACAACAAAGATGAGGACAATTTTCTGCATGTAAATAACAACTTCTCATCTCAGAAATTCAGTCAAAAACAATGAATTGAAAAATAATTTTATCGGCAGAAACCTTTAGGGTAATTTTTAAAATTTGTATTAAAAATAAATAAGATAAAATCTTTATTAAAATAAACTTTTGTTATGCAAATTAAATGTTATTGTTTATATTGTAAAAGCAGTTTGTTATTAATATATACAAAATGGCTGAAGGTAAATTTACTGTGTAACCATATATAGGCTGCTTTGTTATAATGGTGTAAAGTGGGGGATTCATTCCTTTTATTCAGTTAGTGCATTTTGTGTCACTTTGGTCAGGACTCCCCTTCATCTCACAATTGTGGTTCATGGTGATATTCAAGGCAGAATACTGCAATGTTTGATTTCTTTTGCACTGAGGCTGTTGAAAGGTGGATTTGTTTTTGAAGTTACTGTCTTCTAGCCTTTACCTAAAGAGGCAGTATCTACAAAGCAGCAGGTCATTTGAATTCAGAGTTTCCTTCTCCTTGGCTGGTTGCAACTTAAGGCTATAGGACCTTGTCTGTCTTGCTTTTTTGCCCATAGCCAAAATTCAGCCTTGTGTAAATTTATAAAAGACTAGCAGCATGGCCTGGCATTGCCTGTGCTTGATGCAAAAAATGTAAGACTCATACAGCAATCGCTATCACTTAAAATATTTTTTCCCTTCCTTGCCTTTAAAGGAGTACCCTTTGCTGTGCTGATGTTGCTACATGCCTTACTTCTTGCCTATCTCACATTGCAAATTTTTTCTAAGCTCTATACTAAACATTAAATTTGTTACGAAAAAAGAACTAAACAAAATGAACACAAAAGCGATCAGCTTTAAAAAGGACTCAGAACTGGAAAAACCGAATGAAAAAGAATGTTAACAACAAATACTTTTTCACACCCAACCCAGTTCTGCAGAATCAGAATCAATGTTGAGTTTAAGCAAGCGAGTAAAGTGCCATGCAGATTTAAATTTTTCCCACTTGTGACGAATGCAGCTATCAATTTTTTTTTTTTTTTGCATGCTAGTTAACATTTGTGTCAGTCAGCTATTGGCTCTCATGCTGGCCAATAGAATCTTCCTGCCTATTCGTGGCAGCCAGCTATTGGCTCTCACTCTTGTTAACACTTGAAAACTGATATTTGATTTTTTTTTTTTTTTATTCATTTCAGTTATAAATTTATAGGCTTTAGTTTTCTGTTTAATGATTAATTAGTATAAAATATTATTTGTGGATATTATGTGTTACTTAATTTGCTTTGTAAATATCCTTTCCAGGAGGATGATGAGACTTCACTCCACATGGCAATTAGTCAAGATGATGGAAATAGTTTATATATGGTCGACTTCATAATACAGAACAGTAGCATGTGAGTATGTTATTTTATATTTTTGCATAAAACTTTTACATTTGTTTTTTTATTCTGGTTCTGCTGAAAGTCTTAACCGTTCATTTCAAATTTATGTTCACTAGCCAAATCTCTATCTTATGACTATTTCTCTTTAATAATAAAGTAATTCAGCAGATGATGATATTTTATTTATGGTAACTGGAGTTTTAGTGATTGGTCACTCAGTTTCCATCATTCGATATTGGGCTTCTGAAAAAGGGAGCTTTTATTGTGTTCACCTTTGCTTCTCGGCCTTTTGGCTGGGATCAAAGTGTAATATCTACCCTTAAGAGGATAAATCACATTTCATCTCTCAGGTGTGTCTTTATCTTCGGACAGGGTGCAAATCAGTTATCTGTCTGTGGGCAGTGCAACTGAAAATATTATTGAGAGATGTACAGTCTGAAGGAAACAGTTATCCACAGCAGTACCTCCCTCATTGCGCTAAAGAGGTGGTGATCGGTAGTAATACTGATGCCAACACAACTGATGGTAGTGAGGGCCTGGGCTATTTTGGGGCCTGGCCTGAGTGCATGCATTTGGGCTCCCCACATTAAACTGACCTTGTATCCCATCCTGACAGCATGAGGTGGCAAGAAAATACAATCGCTTCTCAGCCTTTTGGCTAAGATTCGATCACGGCTACGACTAGCTTGGACTGGCTTGGGTCTGGACCAGCTAGGACAAGCCAAGACTAGCTAAGACCAGCTTGGACCAGCAGCCCGAGTGAAAACACTCTGGTCCCCATGTTAAAAACTGACCTTGTGTCACAACCTGACTCATTGGGGGTCAAGTAAATAAACAGCCTTTTGGCTAAGATCAAAGTGTAGTATTTGTTCTTATCAGCTTAATCCAATTCTCTCTCTCACTCTACTTCTATTTCCCTTTTTTTTTTTTCATTTTCTCACTGAAACCAAGTAGTGTCTTTTCCCCTCTTTACATGTGATCTAAACAGAATGGTTCACTATGAGGTATTAGCAGGGTGTAACGGTTATGCAAAATGATGAATGGAGAGACACACACAATTATAATAGGATATTTATAGATGGAGTATTCACAAATTTGTTTTCAAAAGAATGTAAATTGCTTATTTGTTATAGGATATTATATCCCAACTAAATTAAGTGCAGCTTTGGTTTGTTTGTTTTAATCTGGAATATTCATTTTTTTTTTTTTTTTTTTTTTTTTTAGCTCTAGTCTAGACAAAACCACGAAGGATGGAAATACAGCTCTTCACCTATGCGCTCAACTTAACAAGTCTGAATGTATGAAGCTCTTACTGCGGACCAAACCTGATATGGCCACGTTAGCAAATAAGGCAGGCCAGACTGCGCTGGAGATAGCAAAGGAGAATAACCACCAACTGTGTGCAGAACTGGTAACACTCTAATATAACTTTCTCCTGCTCTTTATTTTTCTCTTCATTGTTGCTGTTTATTTTCATTAAGTACTTCTCCTCCATTACTTGCCTCTTTCTTTCACCTTCACTCTATTTCCTTCTGTTGCTTCTCTCTCTCTCTACAATATCTCTCTGTTTTCCTGTCTTTGTCTCCATTTTTCCTTTTCTTTTTTTTTTCATAATCTTTATTTCACTTTTTTTTTTCTCTCTCAACTTCTCTCTATTTTTCTGTCTTTCTTTTAAAAAAAAAACATTTTTGGGAGCCAGGATCAATGTGGTGTATCTGTTCTCCTTATAATTAATGGAGAAGACACCTGTTTTTCTTTCATTCTATTTTCTTCTGTTTCTCTATCTCAACTTTCCCTATTTTGCTGTCTGTCTTTCATCTTTCGTTTCCTACCCACCTAATCTTAACATCTTACGTTTTTTTTGTAGCTGAAAGCTGCTCTAGAAAACAGAAAAGATCTCTTTGAAAATGTCAATATTGACTGGGATCTTATGATTGTAAGTATGGCTAAATTTTTTTTACAACTATCTTGGCTTAGCCATCTTATTTATTTCATATTTTCCTCATGTGTTTTTTCAATTTCCTTTGTTTCAGGAGGAGCCCGTCTACCAACCTGAGTGTTATAGTGACGATGATATTGATGTAAGTATTCATTTTCTCTTTATTTTTTTATCTGTTTTCTGACATTCTTGAAATAAGCCTTTTCATTTCCAGGCTGAATTTAAAAAAAAAGAATAAATAAAAAAAAAAAATAAAAAAAATCAGTCCTAACTGAAGTTTCATCCGTTATGAAGTTACCATAAATTTTAAAATATTGCAGCTGGTTAATCCATTGTATCTGACAATGTGAAAGCAAAGCAAAATCTGATTTCAATTAGTTTCTTCAAACCATTCTAAACTTTTTCTTATAAAAAGCAAGGAAAGTTTTTCATTTTTGATTAATTTAACCAATGAGGTGTGGGTAGTGTAGTGGCTATCAGCTGAAACTGGTGAGCCAAGTTCAAATTCTGAACAACTCTGTTACATTCACTTTTGCACAAGTGCCCTTGAGAAAGGCGTGAATCCATCACTTCTACCCTACCGCCACAGCTATGGATTAAATGGCAAAGTAGACTGGGCTCTCTAGCCTTAGGTCAGTAGTTGTCTATGAGAAGGAAGACTCTGAATTTAAAACTATAGAGAAAGAAATGAGAAATCACCCCCTTACCAAAATTCAAAGGCCTATTGGAATAGTGAAAGTGGCCTTCCATAAGCTAAGTATTAACAAACAAGAAAATTTTGTTAGAAATAAAGAGGGCTGAACTGTTATGTAGTATCAGTCCTCATATATGGCAGTGAATGCTGGACAGTCTCCTTGTAGATGAAGAGACTTGAGGCAACAGAAATGTGATTCTACAGAAGGATGCTGAACATGTGAGCAATAACAAAATTTTTAAGAAAAAAATGAAAAATAAAAGGATACGTAGAATCGGAAAGAGACTATGGAAATTTGTAGGGCACATAACAGGGAAAGGGCTTGGAGAATTTGATATTCGCAGGGCATAATGAAGGCAAGAGGGACAGAAGAAAAGCGGCAAATAACCTACCTATTATGTAAATGGTTGGCAGAACAGGGATTAGAAAAGATAGCAAAACGACATGCCTTTCTAAGATCTATAAAGACAGAAAGTTGAGGAGAGCCATAATTGCCCAATCCTGACAGGACATGGCAGATAGAAAAAATCTTTCCTAATTTGCAGATAATAAATGGAATATATGAAGTGCTATGATCACCTACATTCTGAACAGATATAGCAGTTAAACAAAAGAAAACATAGTATTAAAGACATACCTACTTTGCAGGTTAAAATACTATTTGATTATAACATTAAATTAGCCAACCATACAAATTCACACAATAATTTTAATTAAGAAGTATTAAAAGTACTACAAGCTATAAGCTTCTTTGTAGCTTTTTAACTATATATAACTGGATATATTTTCTTGAATGTTGTTTCCCTTTAGGATGTAGGCAATCATCTATATGCAAATTTTTTTATTTATTTTCTGTAAATTGACATGACTTCTTGAGAAAGATAGTGTAGGGTTTCCCCACTGCTTTCTCTGTGATTTTGTATTCAGAGTAGTCCTTTTCTTAGAATGGCTTCCACCCAAGGTTAAAGAAACCAGCCTACCTTATTATTTAACTCCTAGCTGAGGGAGGAAAAATTATGGATTCATGCCTTTCCCAAGGATATTAGTGTAAAAGCGAAGCAGCTGACTAGGTCAGAAGTTGAACTTGGCTCACCAATTCCACTTTCCAAGTAGATAACTGTTACACAAATATATATATATATATATATATATATATATATATATATAGAGAGAGAGAGAGAGAGTGATATCCTACCTCATGGTTGAAACCTGGGTTGCGAGGTTGATTGGCATTTTAGCCTTTTCTTATTATATTGTTGTTGTTGTTATTATTAAAGCATTGACATCATACAAATTATTTTGCTTAAAAGACACATCAATCTATTTGGATCTTGGATTGACTTTTCCATTAAAATATAGGCTTAAACCCGACTTAAAATCTTTAGAGATGAGCTTAAAAATTGAAATATATGATATAGCTCACAAAATACATGTTTTGATACACTGGTGGGAGTTATCAGTGACATTTTAGAAGCAGGATCATCAGGCGTTTCAGGTTTTCAACACCAAACTCCCTTTTAGGCAGTTTTAATTGGGGTTGATCAAACCCTGATCCATCTCCCACAAATGGATAACATCACTTCATACATTTCAGTTCCACTTTGGTAGCTTGATTAGTGGTTCCAAAATTTTAGGTTTTAGTGACACTATCACTAACCAGTGGCCTTCATTTTATATATATATATATATATATATTATTTGCCTTATGATATGTTGTATCATCTTTTAAATAATTTTATTGTTGAATTATTATCCTATGACTATTACTGCTGTTGATGATATCCTGCTGCCTTGCTATTACAAAATTATATGAAAACATAGAACTTGACACAAGCCAAGCTAGTATCATTTCATTATCACCAATTAAATTGTGTTTTTTCTCCATTCATGATGAACAGTTACACTCTCAACATTTCTCCATACTTTGAACATCTAGTAGAACTCAAATTTACTCCAGGCCTCAGGTGGAACTCATATATACAATGCCAAAAAAGCTGAAAAAATGGTTGTTTTATTCTACCACTCTAGAAAGTATCTGACTTCTGTTATCAGATTAGATCCAAAAATGGTGTATTGCTGCCATATCTGGGTTAGATCTGTTCAATCTTCTCTTTCCAGCTTTGATATAGTTCAAGATTGTTTATGTGGTCTTGTAAGGGAAGACTTGTTTTCCACTCTGCAGTTACAGATGCAACATTGCAAGTCCATTACTACTCTATCACTATTTCCATGTCAAATGTTCAGATGAGCTCCACTCTTTGCTCTCACCAGTTCAGACTTTTATAGCTAGGATTTATATCATCCATATTTCCTCCATATTCCAATTGTAAGGAGCAAGTCCCACTCAGACAGCTTTTTTTTTTTTTTTACAAGTGCTAATTTGTGGAACAGATGGATGCATCCCTGAACACTGTAATCTTAGCCTCTTCAACCTCTTTATTATCATCATCATCTCTTCCTACTATGTTCTCTGTGGTGATTTGATGGTCCATTAAACAGAACCAAACCATCTTACTATGTTCTCTTACATTCATTTCACACACCTCATTCAATAGTTTCTACCTTAAATAGCTTTTGGGACTTCTATTGGATGAACTTTGGTTTTAAAAATAGCATATTTTCTGTGCATTACATTTTTGCATTGAGATTTTTAAGTAAAACTTATGAATTGTTTATTTCTCAAACTGACCTTTGGTAAGTGAAACTGGAAATAAGGTATTTGTATTGATGTCCATGCTTGCCTCTTTTCTGCTGGTCTTACACTTAAATGTTTTTATTTTTGTTGGTTCTGTTCATTTAAGGGTGCCCCTGAGTACAAAAAACCCCGATCTAGACCTTCCAGTGTAATTGGGATTAATGAGACAACAGCCCCTGCCTCTGTATCCAGAGAAGGCCTTAATCGGGACAAGGTTGATTTGGAATCTGGCCGTCCTCCGCCGCTTCCACCACCGCTGAACAAGCCTACGAGTAAGTTTTTATCTAATTTCTTTCTGTAAGATTTGTAGACAGTCATAAATCCACATATACAGAATTCCTTTCAATATTCTCCTTGGGTCCATTGTATATATCAATGGAAACAGATGACATAAATGTTTATTCTTCTTTGTAGAGATTTTGTCATGGCACTTAATCTTTTTTCTTTCTTTCCATCAGTTTCTTCTTAGAAATTGGAAGCTATCACTTATCAAAATACACTTCAGACTTAGAAAATGTTTCTTAACCATTGTAAAAATTGATATTTAGTCGGTGTTGTGTACAAAATATAACCAGAATACCAGACAATTATTTTAATGTATACTTTTCTAAATATTTTTATTTGACAGTGAAACTAAGCTTCTATAGCTTACAAAGAATGTACAGTGCATATTGTCAGGAAATATACAAATTTAATTAAAAAAAAAAAAAAAAATTCTCCCTTATTTGTTAAACCAATTGACTGGAATTCTGCTGTTGATATGAATTTAATAAAAAAAAATATGTGAAACTTTATTACCCAATGCAATCCTATAGACTTGTTTTTAGTTAGCAGGGATATACATATATGTATTCCCTTAATATATTTTTAAAAAATGCAGTACCTTGTATTAAAAAGCCAGTAAAAATTCATAAATGTATTGTGTATGCACGCAAAATAGTTTTTTCTCTTTATATTTTTAAAATGTAACCTATTTGCTTTTTTTTAAAAAGTTTTATCTTTTTGATTGATTTTCTTTTGCAGTGTTTCCTGTTTTTTTTCTTTGACAGTATTTTAATGAGGTCATGTAGCCGTCAGCAGTATTGTATTTTTCTATTATTCCTGCAGAAAATGAATTTAAAAAACTGATCTTGTTAATTCTTAACTAAATAACAGGCATTTCTGCTTTTCTCTTCTTTCAAAGCAACCAGGTAATACTGATATCAAGAATGTGCCTTTAATATTATGTTTTCTTTTACATGTCATTACAGATAAACACTTCCCTTATCTGCCAATTCTACTTTTCACTGTGCATATATATATATATATATATATATATATATTGCAAATTAATTAAAATATGTAAAATTACTAGAATTTACTGTGTTTCAAGGCTAGCAGAATTTTTTGTCAATAAAGTGCTTGAGAACTATAGCAATAATAATAAATTAATAAAAGTTCAATCAACTTATCTTTTGACAGACTTCAAAGTTTTGCAGATGCACCACTCATTAGGCTCAATGTCGGATAAATCTATTGAATTATTAACAGATGTTATATTTATACTTACAAAAGAAATGCAAATCATGAACTCTGAACAATTTTAGTTTATATATTTTGTTTTCTAAATTTAGTAGAAGCTGGAGCAACAGTTTTTTTAACTGACAAATATATAATTTAAGTAAAAAATGGATTCTCTTTTGTTGAGTTCCATTCTGGAGAATACAATTTTTATATTTTGTTGGATAAAGCCATTATAAGACATTTAGTAACTGATGTAAGTCAATATTAAAAATATATATATATATATATATATATATATATATATATATATATATATATATATATATATAATAAATATAATAAATGATCTTGCTATTGGTTAAAATATTAGTTTTTAAAAAAAATGTGTATAACATGTTTTTGTTTTCTTTTGATTTTTAATGGATGTGTAACAGCGAGTTAGAAAAATTGGTGACCTAAGTTAAAACTATGGCAGAATTTCTTTGTTTTTGCACAAATACCCATGGGAAAGATATGAATCTAACTTTTCTCCTCTCAGCTGTGGGTTAAATAGTAGGACAGACTGGACTTTAATGTTGACTGGCAACCAATATAGAAGGACAACTCTAACTTTAAAACTTTCTTGGAGAAGGATGGGTTCTATCAAGCTATCTTTCTCTAGACACATCAATGCAGTACATGTGGGGCTTAATTGGTCTAATCTGAATGACTATAAATTATTCTGAAATTAAATGTTTGTTTTTTAGTGTCTTTTTATTAGAATTCTGTAAAAAGTGCTGAAGATAATAATTAGTCTATTGACAGACATCTATGAAGAATTTCCCTCTCCATTGGCACTTAGTTAATAGATATTTGCTGATTTTTATCATCAGTACTAACCAATTTTGAGTTGCTGATATTTTCATAAGAGTCTTAGTTCTTAATTCCGCCTATGCCTTTTCATACGTGGGTGCTGCATTTGCTCTTCTTATTGAGTAGGAAGAGTAGAGATAAGTTTTGAAATTTATATACCTCTTCAGTTTTTTCTCACTCTAAGAGTCTGTGATTTTAATAAATGAATAGTAAACTTTGCTAATGAACTTTAGCTTATTTAATGCCATGTCCCTTCAGGACAAAAGCAACCATGACTCTTCACTGGTTTCTTTTTCTTTATCTATCAATTGCCATAACAACTTGGGAAAGATAATGGAGTAGTTTCTTGTTGCCTTCTACATGGTTTTAAAGTCAGAGTTTAATTTTTTAGACTAGTTGCCATACAAGGCTAAAGCCCAGGCTCATTTCAAATGCTAAGTTTATCTTGCTATTTACCCATAGCTTGGGGAGAGAAGAGATGGTTTTATGCCTTTGTGCAGAAATGAATGCACCAGACTAGTCTGGAATTTGAACCTGGTTTGCTAATTCCACTTTCTGTGCTGATACTCTGAATATCTTTTGCTAATGAACACTTGCTATATGGAAATAAATGTAAACAAAGTACATAAAGCCTTTAGTTTTTGTTTTCTACTGCTAATCTATCAAATATTTAACAAAATAATCATCAGACTTTAGAGGTTTGATGTGATCTAAATCAGGACCTGCTTGATGAAGTGTATTATGAATTATAAAATTTATTTTTCAAATGTAAAATTGCTAAATTGAATCATTGACTGATATAGATTAAAACAAATTTTTTTCTTCCTTTTCTGATAGGAAACTGTTTTGTAAATAGCAAAAATATTTGGAAGGAAGAATAATCTGCAATGTGAGAAGAAAAAAATTAAAGAATAACAATTATTTTTTTTAATCTCATTTTGACTTGTTGATTTTTATTCTTGCAATACTAATTTAAATTTTGCTCTGTGCAGATTTTGTTTGAAGATTGACATTTTCCATAAAGTTTTTAAACTGAAAAATTTATTACTTTTTTTTTTTTTTTTTTTAAATGTTAGGAATAGCAACAGGATTTTTGTTTGGTAATTTTTTTCTAAATGAAAATTCTATTGATATTATTCTTAAATATTTTTTTTATCCTTTTTAAATATTTTTTCCATTTACTTATTCATTCTTTTTTGTTTTGATATAAATAACATCAATTTCTAATATTGTTTTCAAATTTTTAAACAAACAAAACTTTGTGTTATGAACACTTTTTAAAAATTATATTTAAAATGAATTTTTTTTTTTTTTTTTTTTAATTTTTAAAAAATTATTTATTACTGTGATTGTCTTTTTTTAAATCTCTTTTGTAATTTTGTTACCTCAAATATGTCACCTCAAATATGTCACCTCATAGAATTCTTCATACTCAATTAGATTCTGGTCTCTTGGCCAATAGATTGCATTTGTATTGACGATCAAATCACTTGTCGCCACAGCTTCACATTTCTTGCATTTGGCTTGTTCACCATCACGTCTCAAGTGTAACAGTATGAAGGCTGGGGAATAATAAATGATGTCAACAACAAAGATCAAATTTTGTTTGTTTCTAATAAGTATATTTAAGAAATATATATTAGAAATAGAAATACTTTATGTTCATATTTTATAGATTCAAGACTAGCACTCTAGAAATAAATTAATCTTAAACCTTATATCATTTTAAGAGAAATCTCTTTGGATATATGTATATCATACTTATAGTAACTTTTTATTTGTATTACTATAAACATTATTCTAGTGAACACAAGTGTTTGAACAGCCCCTCGTTTTTTTTGTAACAGAAATTAATGGTCTTGAAATGATATATTTTTTCAGATACAATATACAACTATAAATTACTAGTTGTTTAGGTAACAGGATTTATTAAACATATCTAAACCTTGATTTATTCTAATGATTACATAAATGCAATGATAACAAATGCTAAAAGCATATATAAGAAAGTAAGCAGATGCTAAAATTTCCATCATAGAGATTTAGTGCATGGTCTGATACAGCAAATATGAATTTATAAAGTTTATTATGTAATATTTGTAATGACAAAAGTATATAGGTGTAGGCTTTAAGAAAGCTTTATTCAACTGAAAATACAAGGTTCGTGCATAGTGTCCTTTTATAGTCTCAGTAAACAGAAATAGCTCTCTCAAAGAGGAGAGTAACAAAACAAGGGGAGACCACTCTTGATTATTCATAAGAATACTTATCTATGTCATTCTAGGAAACTTATGTGAAATATTAACTATATTAGAGATAGACCAAGAAGGTAGAAAGAATACATTTTGGTTTCCCTTGCAGAAAAATTTCTTTTGCTTTTAACTTGGTAAGTGCAAGCAACTAAAGGTTATTCACATACACAAATAAATGAAAATCATTAATGAAATATTATTTCTTCAAAGTAAAATTTAATGAATCAACCAGCACATTTTTTTTTTCACCTAAAATTTGTTTTAGAAAATATTGTTGTGTATTGAAAATCAAGAAGTAATTTTTATTGGCCAAGAATCCACGCTAACATTACTGACAGAATATTACTATTCTATGTATAAAAAAACAATTTTTTTATATACACAATTAGTCAGTTTCTCATGTTTTATTGTGTTACTCAACTTCTTGAGATTTCAATCTTTTTGCCTTGTTACATTTATTTTATAACTAATATTTCACGCAAACCTTATAAATTCCAAAATGACACAAGAAAATATAACATTTGAGTTATTGAAAGCTCATCAAAAATATTATGGAAGTATATTCATGCAGAACTAATTGTTTCTAGTTGTAACTGAAAATATGCTTTAAAATGCTTTTGGAGACAGAAATAAATTAAAATAGCTCACTTCTAGGGTGTGTGAAA